TGGTACAGAAACTTCATTGGCTACAAGTTTGAGCATTTTATGACTTATACCATCAGGACCTGTTGCTTTATTTAAATTAAGAATATTTATAATATCTTCAACTTCACCAGGAGCTATATGGATTTCAGATAAAACGGAGTTGGTGCGCCGTTCAAAAAAAGGTAAATCTTTGTCTATGTCATTTTCTGATAGATTACATACAGAACTAAAATAGTTATTCAACAATTCACATTTACTGTCATTGTCATATAAAATTTCGTTTGTAAAAGAGTCTAGTAGGGGGGAAATTTCAATATTTGTTTTGCCCTTAAGAATACTTCGTAGAAGTTTCCAATACGTTTTGGGATTGCTATTACTTTTGTCAATCACCGTATTTACATTTTCATAAAATAATTCCTTGGCTCTTTTAATCATATTGTTTACTCTGTTTCTCATGTACTTATAATTATTTTTATTACGCTCAGTACTATTATTAAACATTATTCTTTTAAGTCTATCCCTTTTTCTGATATTGCGTCTTAGCAGACCATTCATCCAGGGCTTGTCACCATCACGCACTAATACTTCTCTCGAGGGTATACACGTATTTACAGCATTTAAGAATTTCTCGGTGAAATAATTACACATTTCGTTAACGTTTAACATATGGGTGAAATTTTCTAGCCACGGAATACTATTGATCATATTTTTAAGTTCGTCCACATTGGATTGATTGTACAGCCATACTTTTCTTCTGAAGTTGTGTTTAATTGTTACAGGAATATTAATGACGACGAAAGCAGCATCATGGTCACTAATTGCTCGCTCAATTTCGATCACATCAGAGAAAACTACATCTACAGTATCACTAACAATAATGGGGTCAAGGAGTGTAGAAGAAGTATCAGTACGTCTGGTTGGTTCGGTAATAACATTTGTTAGATTATATTGGGAAAGAATATTACTTAGATCAACTCTATCATTTTTCAAAAAATCGATATTTAAATCACCTGTAATTATTACGTTTGGTGTTTCTTCGAGAGCTATATCAACTGAATGTCGAAGATGCTGCCATAAGACATTGGCGTTGGATGAGGGAGGTCTGTAAATATTACATATTAAATAAAGAAAATTTTGGAGTTTGACTTGTGACCATATCATTTCAGAGTTTCCAAATTCAAGATCAGTTCTACGCTTGGCGATAAGGGATTCAGAAAAATACATGGCAACTCCACCACCAAACATATTCCTATCTTTCCGGAATGGTTCAGAGAAACCATCAATTATGATGTCGGAGTTTGGTACAGAGTTGTCGAGATGTGTTTCAGTAATGGCTAAAATATCAACATCGTCTGCTAGTGAGGACATATAATTTAATTTGTTACGTAAGCTACGAATGTTTAGGTGTAATATACTAAGAGCACTGATAGATGAACTACTATTAGAACTAGGTCCGGGGTTTGGATGAATATCGCCCGCTATCAATAAAACAATTAAAGCTGAATTATAAGGATTGTGGATGCAATGGGACAACTGCAAAAGCAAAAGATAGATCCGATGGAGGCAATTTAGATTGGAGAGCAATGCTAGAAATAAAAATAAACAATTTTTAACTTTAAGAACAAAGGTGATTGAAATACACGATAATTTACTATAAAAACAACCTATGGCAGCCCTCCATGCACACACGTCGTTACCTGTCATGGAGGTTGGAAGTTGACAAAAAATAGAAATAGGTGGAGGACTACCAACGAAAAAAGGGGTGCACAGACATATCCTAAGGTTGGGGAGGAATCGAGAAAAGAGAATAACTGTGGAGAGGGAGGATGACAATGCGCCATTGGAAAGATGAAGCTATAGTATAGTAGACAGCAAAGGGAAGGTATAACAATGAAACAGATAAGTATCATGTCGAATACCGAGGAATGAGGGGTAGGTATTGGGTATATTAACGTATGTAAAGACATATAACAAAATTGTATGTTTATATACTGGATATCCGTAAGGAATAGTTGGTAATACTAAAGGCAAAACTATATACATGGGTTACATTAGAAAAACGCATATGCGCAAAGTATATATCCATCCGATGAATATCACACATGTATAAATATAAGTTCGTATTAATAATACCACACTATAAACAATTGATTTTTTTAACATGTGAGGAATGTACGCAAAATGAACACAGATGGTAAGTATATATACAGTATAATGTATGGATTCGTAAGCGCACATGAACGAAAAAATAACTCCATAGCCATGATTCAAAAGGGAAAAAAAAAAAACATTTTTTTTTCTTTAATCATGTGAGGAATGTACGCTGAATGAACACAGATGGTATGTATATATTCAGTATGAATATAGTATAATGTATGCATTCGTAAGCGCACATGTACAAAAATGTAATAACTCCATATTCATGATTCAAAAAAAGCATTTGGATTTTTCTTATCGTGTGATAAATGTATGCAGAATGAAGACAGATGGTATTTATATATTCAGTATATGTATAGTATATTGTATGCGCTCGTAAGCGCTCATGTACAAAAATATCACTCCGTATTCATGATTAAAAAAAAAAAAAAAAAAAAAAACTTTTTTGATTATTTTTAACATGTGAGTAAAGTACGCCGAATGAACACAGATGGTAAGTATATATTTAGTATATATTTGTATATTTTGTGACGTCTAATGAAGTAAAATGATGTTATATATGAAGACGATCTTGCCACAACGACAAGGATTAAAGCAAAATTGATGTTCTGTTTGTAAGTTTTGTTTGTTTAAAAGTGCTGTTAGTTAATAATTCAAACTAGAGGCGTGTTGTATATGTCTCTGTTCAAACCAAGGCCCCAGACTAGCTTCTTATCATGGCGCCAACTCGCACGTACAGTGTTCTGTACGCTTACGTCATGTCGAGAAGGATTCATAACCCGCCATAGAGTAAATACACTGTAAATGAAGTCACGCAGTTACAATAAACTTTGATGATACAAGAAATCATTTTTTGCTTACTTACGGCAGAGACGTATCTCTGCTTACGGTTAATATAGTTGTTTTCTAGGAATATTCACAGCAGGCTCGATCTTCTTCGATGTCCGTGAGCAAATTCCGTAAAATATATTGTTCAAAATTTATCAATAGTTCAACCACACTGTGCTTCTTTTTTGAAATATGTAGTAATCGTATTGTTATTAAAAAATAAACTTATTGAGGATGCTTTTAAAATAGCGATTTAAAAGATCGCGGCATTATTTACGCAGAAAATTGCCGCTAGAGGGCTCTAACTCTTTTCGATATTTCAGCCAATGAGAAGGCCAGGATCGGTAAATTTTGTCTGAAAGGCCGTCGCAATAGGCTGTACGTACCGAGTACGTTTAGCCTAATAATGAATAGTTTTCTCCCCGTGGGTTTTGACCAGAAACCACGATAGCCTCCCGATATTTGGCGGGTTAACAGCGACACTCGGATTTTATCAAGCGTGATGCTTCTTTTCTGTAGCTTCAACCAGTGCGTTTTATGTTCTTCAAAAAATATTGGTAGATGCAGAAACAACAAGCTTTCTGAGCAAAGAAACCAAACTGAAACAATTCCCGTTGCGTCTAGATAACTTACTAAATGGCGAATCGACAAAACCATTTATACCCGAGTTTGTGTTGGTGTACCTTCAGACCATACAACTCAAGAGTTCAGAATTCACATTTGTAGTTTGTTTACAAAGATGTTTCTTTGTTTACTAGTCTCATGCCGGTGAAACCGGTGGGAACTATAGTATGTCTGTCTGTCTGCCCGTCCCGCCGTCCGTCCGGTATATTGTAATGGCTGTGAAGTTAGGTTTCTCTCCCTTGTAATATCAAAACCATATCACAAGGTTTCTACTAAGGTTGGCCAATTTAAGTCAAGGGAGATAACCATTAAAACAATAACGCAAATGTAACAAATATAATAAAATAAAAAGAAAAACAGATTACAAAAATATCACATTTATTCTATATTTGTCACAGATCTCCAAATGATGTACAAGCATACAATGCATGTCTCACAATAAATTTCTATACACTATAAAGAGTATAGTTGTTTGTCAAATTTCTTTTTAAAAGAAAACCAAGTTAAATAACAGAAACAATAGGACATACATTAATGATGTTTTCCCCGGTGTAATTTTGTGATATGACTGATTGACTTGATATTTTCTCAAGTGATTATAGACAGCGTAGCAATTATACAATAAACATTCACCAGCAAGCTAAAATATCAAAACGGTTTGAATTTCAAAAATAAAAAAGTATATGTATGTGAATTCAACAGAGACATATTATCAGCCGACCATAGACAACTTAGTTCTGTGATCGATGTCACTTATTGCGACAAAAATAAAGGTTTTGCGTGAACGAAAAATTAGAAATCTTGGTCTAGGTGCCTTTCCTATAATGATGTTGAAACAGAAGAGCATTGCAACAAACGACCCTGGCCGTCGATGTGTCCGACTGTCCGCTCGTTCTGTAAATCTGTCCTGTATCGGACATGTCCCGGAAAAGTTATCGACAGGTCACCAGCAAGACCGCAATCCTATGGAACCAAACACAATCGTTTTACAAATTTGAAAATACCAGCGACACAGACTGCCACTGAAATTTATGGCCAATGCCTTCACGTGCGCTATATGACCATTTGCCAGCTTTCGTAGTGGCAGTGGTCAACTGTTATAGACAAAACACTTCACTAGTAAATACAGAGAACAAAATAGGCTTCAGTATAAAGACAATTAGATCTATGAGTTTAGACATTGCACCGTGACCCTGCAAATGGGATCACTGCACAAGTTTAAATTACCAACAAGATAATAACAATACACGGGACAATTAGAACATGACGTGGTTTCAGACATATATTTTCATACCTTTCAAAAACGTTAAACGATTACGCAACGATTGGTTAAGGACATGTAAACCGCCAGAAAACGGATAATGGAACTCACCATTAGCTGACGAGGAAGCGGCGGGGCTCAAGCGTGGGGACTATTTCTTTCCTATTGACGATAGTGGTACACACTGACCATTCAGACACACCTGTGGATAAAATGAAACTTGGCTACAGGAATATAGAACAAAGCATGCAAACGATACACATCCCTTCGCTGTTCCACATTGACTTAAGTGCAATAAAGAAGGTCAATTGAATAAAGTTCTTATAAACCAACCTGTAGAAGACTAGAGTGTGACGTTTCGATGACTACACGGCCACCGTCATAAGACAAATGACCAGTGTGGGGCATGTTAGCACTGACGTACGTAGTGTAAGAGATGGTAAGGAATCGACCAAAATATATTGTACACTAAGGTCTAAAACAGTGTGACGAGATGGTAAACCAAAATTACACAAGATGGTGAAAATGCACTGTAGTCAATTCGACCGTGCTGTGTTTAACCTTTTGAGCCGATTGGACTTGCAATTGACTTTAACTGTGTATGTGTACCTTATGTTTGCTGCACTCTGTTCCATCCACAGCCGGTTCGGACCGAGTATATCTCCACTCCCCCTTACGGTCATCACAACACAAATGTTCACATTGAGTTGGGCCTTCCTGTAAAACGGAAATGAAAAGCCACTTATGAAAAAAAATGTATCAGTGCAGAGAACCGGAGGGGATTACTGATGTTACGTCATTCCAAGAAGACAGCGGCTAATTTTAACAAGAGGCCATAACGGTCATCTGACTAGAAAGAACTATACTATGTAACAACAGTAGTAGCAGTGCGACAAATCATTAAATTATTAGAAAAGTTTGGAATACTTCTAACACTTAACACTTTTCAACATTCCCGCAAATTTTCATGTCAATGGCATGAACAACACTAATATCTTATCAGCTACCTTTACTTAAGTTTAGAATCCAAGTGTCGGCCGTATTGGATTTCGGAACGAAGAAAAAAAAACTTGGTCAGAACCAATTCGGGATCATTTCAGGCAAGATACACCTGTGAAGTTTAAAACAGGTGTTGTTCAGGGAAACCACGATTGCGCAATCATTTTACAAATGACTGTTGTGGGCATCCCATCCGAAACATCAAATTTCAACTTTGTAGTAGAAGTTTAACTTCAAAAGAAGTTTGAAACGTGTTTTTCAAAATGAAATCCAAATAGGTTGATTTCGGCCTGACTTTCAGGCAAGATTCTGCTGAATTTCATTTGTGTGGAACTTTGAAAGAAGTTCCAAATGAGAAAAGTTTACGCGCGGCGCACGATGAAGGATGGAACACGATTGCTATAAATCATCCTGGCCCTTCGGGTAAGAGGACTCAAACAGGGCAGCAGAATAAAAAAAAATGAAAGGATATGTAAAAATCCTTAAATATCTATGAAATGACATCTTCGAGAGCTGAGACATCGGGAGATATAATGCTTCATCTGTACCTCACATGGTGGTCCTCCTGTAAACCGCAGACATTGCTGACGTAGCGTCATGAACTTTCCCGGGAATGTGGTTGGAAACTTGAGGGTGTCCCTGCTTGACCTTTGTAGTAAACATTTAGCACGATCCATTCTGAAAAGAGGGAGCACAGGATATTCCATTTATCTCACCAAATACATGGTAGGCTCAAGGTTATAATTATTAATTAATTAATAAGATTGACACATGCTTCTTATGACAAAATAGTTTCGTTGCTAAAACTGAACCTTTAAAGATGTCAAGATGCCCCATGGAATGGGAATATATGAAAGTCTGGTCGCCACATACAAGTCAACAGAGACAAAGATGTGAGGGACCTACCTGAGAAAGTTCTGAAAGCTTCGTATCGAACACTCGGAGAATCTGCTGAACTTGTAGGAGTCGTCACGAGTGTAGCTCATGATGTAACCAGACTTACTGGAACAGGACCCTGCGTCAGCCTCTCCGTCATGGTAAGCTCCAAGTCTGTAGATATTAATAAAAACACGGGGTCATTGCTAGGGACAAATACCAAAGGACAGATGGAACATAAAGCGTATCGCTTTGGATAAGCGGACTTCACGTATATTATGTTTCCAGTCAAACCCAAAGATGATATACTTACAAATGGCCAACCTCGTGAGCAGCAATGATGACGCCATTGAAACTATTAGACGCTTCTCCAATCCCAAAATTAAAGGCATTGCCTCTCAGCATAGGGGCGGACAAACAAGCCCCGCGCACATAGGCTACTCCTAGACAAGTATAAAATAGAGATATTAGAATCTGTCACATACAATTTAAAAGTATACCGGAATCTTCACCAGAACACTGAACAAGAATTTCCATCATTTCTAATTCAGGTTAAAACCTCAGCACCAATGGTTATAGAAAGCCTCTACCACTCAGCCTTTCAGTGGTCTGTAATATTAAAAGAAGTATATTATCACAATGGTAGCAAAGGAAAGTTGGTTACCTGCAGTTCCCGTTACACACTCCTTCTCATCTTTGGGGTCGAGCTGGGAGGAGATTCCTTTGCGGATAGACTTCAGTATATTTGGATTGAAAGGCAGCTTTCCCTCCTTTCCGTGCTTCAGCCGGCGACAGGCATTCTCACTGTAATATCACGTTAAATATATACATATTGTTCCGGGAGTTATAATGCCTCTTATGAACCACATAATGAATGATATACCGAGGTACAATGAATGTTATGACACCTACCCCGTTTGCAGGAATGCTATGTCATGGACCGGCAAGGCGTTTTCGTACCGGATGAGCCACTTCTGCAGACTATCCATTGCGTCATACAAAGAGAACATTTTACTTCCTCTCCGTATTCTGCTCGACTCGATAAAGGGCTGGGCGTTTGGCTCCTTGAATACCCCTATTTCCCGGATACGAAGGTCTATGATTGGCCAAGAACCAGATAGGGCGATCGTTAGGTACTTCCAGTTAACCTGAAAAAGAGTACGGATATCGTTATATAATGAATAACTGTTGTACAATATATTTTGGTTAAATTAACCAGATCTGTCATACAACATGAAGAAAAACTGAATACCGAAGGTATGTGAACTAATTTTAACACTTAAAAGCGCCAGAGGCTACCAAATGAGTTTACCGCGTGCCAGAAGTGCATGAGATATTCCAACAGTTCGTTCGAATCCCCCTCGAATTCCCGGTAGAGGGCGAAGTCCACGAACAGCAACAGTTCCGGTTCTATGCGCGGGGTAGTGCGCGAGTCTGTCTGAGATGGTCGATATTGGCGCTTCCTTCGTCGGTGTGGTTTTGTTCTCTTCGGCTCGGTGTTGTCGTGTGTAACGTTGTACTGCATCTTCAGCATATCCTCAAATCCTGGGATGACTGGAACTGTTTGAACGAAAGGGCGATGATTTAAAAAGATATGTATGACTGGCCATCTTTGAAATCAAAAGGACCTGACTATTGGAATTGAAGACACAAAGACACACTTTAAGGTAGGAGGAAGATGCTGACAAAAAAACCCAGTTGATATAACAAGCAATACATCGAGTTTTCATTAAAACTGATTGCCTTTTTCAAATGTTTAAACTACCAGAAAAACTAATGATGGAACACCCATGAAACTTTTACCATGTCACAGTATACCTACCGTTCATGGTGTCGGCGTGGAATACACCTTGGTAGCCTCCTTCCTCCCTATACACTGTGTGAGAGTCGGAGAAAATGGCTCTCTTATGTCTCTTGTTTGATTTAGGGGCCGCCACAATCAGCTCGTCGAATAGAACTCCCTCCTGACAATATAAAGGAGCTTATTTCAACACTGTGGTAATCGATGAAGAATTTTGTTTGTGTTAGTGACACATTCGACCATTCTTTAACAAAACTACGCCTTTATTAAATTTATTGAAGAATTAAGTTTCTAGGTTTCCTAATAACCCTGGTTCAAGACATCATTGTCAAAATCCGATTTTGGACTTCCTTCAAAAGCCGAAATAAAATTGTTCTATTTTAATTCAACCGATAGTCTACTGTTAACTGGAAATAGTCAAATACATTGCTGATATAATTCCAATGTGTGTAGTTTAAGCTATTTAAGATTGTGGAAACTTACGATGAATGATTCTGGTTTTTTTCCAGAGTCCTTCCGGTGTGCGTATATGCTAAGGAACGTTCCGGACCGTAAGTCTTGGTAATAATTTAGGCCCCGTGCCTTCTTCTGTAGGTCGACCTGTAACATATAAACAAACGTTAACGACACCTTTCAAACATCGGATGATTTCTTGAGTGCATAAAATAATGAGTACATTTCTGTTACTTTTGTAACAAAACAACTCATAACAATGTAACTAATTATAATCAAATGAATGAAGATATTCATAAAGAATCTGATGGCATGCATTCGCTAGTTTTTATTGCTCAGCGTTATATCTGATTTGTAACCCATTTTCTTTGCAAACATGATGCACATTCAACATAATGATATAGCGAAATTATACAAAGAGTTATTATTTTCTCATATGAGAGAAATTTGATCAAACTTCTAAAGAGTTATACTGTTAACAGACGACAAAGGGTGGCGGTACGGTATGTCGTCTAGGACAAAAGTATTATCCTTACAGGCTTAAACTGCTCTTCAAACACCGTCTTTCCATTCTTGTCGACAGAAACAGTGAGGAAACGGACGTCTTCATGAAGGATGTTGTTGTTAATTCTCTTCACCTCCACGTGATACGTTTGTTCTGGGGTCGTCACTTTCACTGCCAAGGTCTGGTCGTTATCCGGGTCACCATTCACATGTACTTGCGCAGGGTATGAACCGGAAAAGGAATTTTTCGGACTCCCTTGATTCCTCTGTGGATGTGGGGCAACTATATGCTGCAGATTATCTGGACTCACACGTGGACGCTGTGGATTGTTTTTTGAGTGTTGATACACTCTGTATTGTTTTGGGTTGCTATCTATTGTCACGATTTCATGGCTATCCGGATGGGCATTATTTTCATTAGATTGGATAATCTGATGGTTTCTCGAAACCTTATTTACATACTGTGCATTATTTGGATGAGAATGCTGATTGTTAGTGAAACCATTACTATTGGTTTTAGGAATAGGTTGTCCGTTGTTCGTTTGAACATGACTATTCACCATACTATTACTTGCCCGTTCTGAGGGGTGTTGGAATGAGTTCGAACTACCGATATTATTATGCTTTGTATTATCCACTACTCGTTGTGAAATAGGAGTGGGCGCATGCACCGGATGTACAGGATTGCTCCGTATTCCGGATACTATTTGTCCAACCCTGCCCTGATTTGATATTGCACTCTTACGGTCCATCTGATAGCTCAGTCTTGGGGGCGTATCAAACACTTTATGTTGGACATGGCCGACGCCATTTTTAGAGGCTCGGTGGACATTGCGTCCATTGGCCGTAGGATTTCCATTATCGCGCTGAATGCCTGCTACGGGTATCTGCTGTGGATTTGAAAATGATCCCCTAGTATATTGTGTAGATGACGGCGTGTTTTGAAAAGTCCCGGAACGGACCACGCCCACCACATGTTGCTGTTGGCCCTGTTGGTGTTGCGGCTGACCACGGGGCTGTTGTGATTGGTCGACAGAGTTACCATTTTGTTGTACATTGTAACCTGTGAATATGAAAAGTTTATGTTGTACAATGAAGAAGAAGAAGAAAAAAAAGAAGAACCATTATTTGACGTCGTTAATACCGATTTAGAAGGGATATAAAATAAGTTGTATGAGAGAAACAAGTAAAAATTTCTTCTTTTTAATTTACAGTTCAGATCAGTCGTTCTCTTCACAGTATTAATAGACATGTGTATTATTTCTATCTCTGCGCTTCCTTCAGTCCCAAAGCATCAAAAGTTCACAAAACACATTACAATCTATTTATTTACAAGAGAAATGTTGTACTTATTCTATAAACAAACCTTGCCAACTCGAAGGGTGTTTTGGCTGATGTTGTTGTTGCTGCTGCTGTTGTTGGAACCAATTGTTGTTTGACCGATGCTCTGCGTTACCCTGAAGTTAAAAAAAAAGATATATTTAAAAAAAATAACTAACTGATCTAATAGTGCATACGTTAGATCGAGATCTGACAGATAACTATAGATCATAACAAATTATAAAATCAAAAAACAAAATTAGAGGAGAGTGTAATATTCTCACTAATTAACGACAAATATTCCTCATATCTTCCACATAAACATCGTTATCATGAATCAACGATATGCGTGCACATTTTGATCTTATTTTTCAGGACAGGGTTTTATATTATATCGACTTTCAGAGGTAAAACGACAATACAATCTCACTTCTGTCTTTTTCTAAACTATTCCATATTTATGTTACTCTAAATAGAGACTAACAAAATATTTTAGGTATTTGAGAAATCGTCACAACGTGTCGATGTACAGACGTGATTATAATGTGAATTATGAAAATTACACAAAACCAACATCTAGTTAGAATACCAATCACATTGATGAACTTCTGTTCATCGATAAACAACAAGACACACTCCATCATCATGGGCGGTAATAACATTTGTGTCAATTACACTTGTTCTTTGTTTTTATTTGACAGTTCAAGTCATTTTATGCATTTTAAACTAAACAATTCTTGTCTATATTAGAATTGACGATGAGTAACAATTTTTGGCTATGTTAGACGTGACGATGAGTAACAATTCTTGGCTATGTAAGACTTGACGATGAGTAACAATTCTTGTCTGTATTAGACGTGACGATGAGTAACAATTCTTGGCTATGTAAGAATTGACGATGAGTAACAATTCTTGGCTATGTTAGACGTGACGATGAGTAACAATTCTTGGCTATGTAAGAATTGACGATGAGTAACAATTCTTGGCTATGTTAGACGTGACGATGAGTAACAATTCTTGGCTATGTAAGAATTGACGATGAGTAACAATTCTTGGCTATGTTAGACGTGACGATGAGTAACAATTCTTGGCTATGTAAGACTTGACGATGAGTAACAATTCTTATTAGACGTGACGATGTAACAATTCTTGGCTATGTAAGAATTGACGATGAGTAACAATTCTTGGCTATGTTAGACGTGACGATGAGTAACAATTCTTGGCTATGTAAGACGTGACGATGAGTAACAATTCTTGGCTATGTTAGACTTGACGATGAGTAACAATTCTTGGCTATGTTAGACTCAACGATGAATAACGATTATCTATGCTGACAGAGGAGTACCCCTGACCAGTTTTCGTGTTTCGTTTCCCGTCACATCTAAGCATTTAAATGATGATGATGATGATGATGATGATGATGATGATGAATAAAATATTTCCCTGTGTTTGAATAACCCCTATCTTTACCTGGGCGAAGGCTTCACACAAGACGAACAAAAGGGGGAGGGAAGAGATTACTCTTTTCCATTACAGATTACATATTGTGATACCTTTGGCCACACAGGGTTGAAGCTTCAGGAAATGGTGTCTTCTTTGGTTGTGGTTACAGTAACACATAACGGTATACAAAGGGTCCCATTGGAATCCAAGAGACACTTTTTCATTATATTTATCTAATTTTTGTTTTTTGAAGAAATATCGCTGAAATGTTATATTTGTTAATGAGTAGGGCGTATCTATCTCCAAAAATCTATAAAAATGTCACTGTGTTAGAGACATATTCATCCGTTATGCCCAGAGTTTATGTATACTGCTATCAACTGACTCTGTTGTATCTGGCCAAGTCCTGACGTCACAAACAACGATGTTGTGTGGCCTGTCGGTATTTTTTTTTTACTTGATTACTAATACGTGATTCCGACTATTGTGTGTATGATTCACCACGCCATTCTAAAGTTCACTGACTGGTCAGTCTATCGCCAGAACGACATGGAGCACAGAATGTGATATAGAATGGTGGTGGTGGTGGTGGTGATTGAAGGGGGACATATGCAGAGTCTTGAATTTGAGATTATTGAAAATCTTATTTTTAAATAATTATATCTAATAATGTGTTGTTTTTTTAACGAATGTTTAAATAACTGGTTTATATAACGTAATTTTTACAATTGCTTTTATTCCATATGAATTTGTGACGGTTTTTTTTTTCATTTATTTTACTAAAGGCCAAAATGAAATCTTGGGCTAGTCCGTTTCGTTAAATCTCATATGAAATGGATCCTCTATGGTATGACTTGTCAATCGTTCGGTGACCAGTGACTAGCCACAAACTCCAGAGTTCTACACCGACCGCTCTAAAAAAAACCAGGGGTGTTGCCTTTCGTATGAAAGCAATCGATTCCAGCACATGTTATCTGTATAGTTATGAGGGAAAAACGACCTTCTACGTCAGATTTCGTGATCACAGGAGACAACTAGTGTAGGTTCTATCTCCTACATAACATTTTTTTCTTTGTACAATACTTACGAGACATGAGGACCATTATAAGATACCTCTACAGCTATATCGCTGCGTTACTTGTCACACGCCAATTTCATATCAGTTTTATTGTCTGACGCTGTGTGGCGTGAAAACTTTTGTTACCGCCATGTTGGAAATACCAAAGCTGGAAGACTGAAGTGATGTTCATACGGTGATGAAACTGTTTATCAAACAATAACCTCAAGACTCATTGGTTGAAAGTGATTGCGAGACAACACGTCAAATTGTATAAATGTACCAGGAAATTTTACCGCCTGTTGTCAGAGAGATAAAGTTTTGTGATTGTAATATTTGTGTCAAAAAGTGTTTCCAATAATATCACTAGTAGAAAAGGTGTGACAAATTAGAGGAAGATCTATAATGAACAGAATTTGTGTTACTAGCTTTCATGACACTACTGACTGTATTAACACTACACTAATCGCGACAAGGTAAAAAAGTACCCTTGGATTAGAAATTATATATATACCACAAATTTGCTTACAATCCGTCTAGACTACCAAACGGCCTGGTTTCCCCACAATGTTATACATGTAGATATTGTTGTGTAGGTGTAGATGTAACAACGACAACAGACGGCGAGTAGTCGGCCGTGTGTACGCCCGGACAACGTAAATAGATCTGGCCAGAGGCAGCACGTTCTACACCGACACAAGTGACAAGATGATCAGAAAAGTGTCTTCCGGGTTGGACGTCGAGAGAGTTCGTGAACTCGTCAGGACACCCTGTGTATGTGGATGAATAATCGAATGTACTGGTCAGTCAAACCTTACCAATCCCTGTTCACTTGTAACTACATAGGATGAAGTCGTGACTTAACAGACCGGAAATCAAACCTCTCAAACCGCAATATCCTAACCCTTTCTCTGTACATATCTGATACCAAATGACACTTCAGTATCCTAACCCTGTCTCTGTACATATCTGATACCAAATGACACTTCAGTATCCTAACCCTGTCTTTGTACATATCTGATACCAAATGACACTTCAATATCCTAGCCCTGTCTCTGTACATATCCGATACCAAATGACACTTCAGTATCCTAACCCTGTCTCTGTACATATCCGATACCAAATGACACTTCAATATCCTAACCCTGTCTCTGTACATATCCGATACCAAATGACACTTCAGTATCCTAACCCTGTCTCTGTACATATCCGATACCAAATGACACTTCAATATCCTAACCCTGTCTCTGTACATATCTGATACCAGATGACACTTCAATATCCTAACCCTGTCTCTGTACATATCTGATACCAAATGACACTTCAATATCCTAACCCTGTCTCTGTACATATCTGATACCAAATGACACTTTAATATCCCAACCCTTTGTCTGTACATATCTGTTACAAAATGACACTTCAATATTTGCTACAGAAATAGGTGTTATCTGTCCTTGAACATGCAAAGCTAAGAATTAACCAAGAGCAACTTATCATTGTCATTTCGCTGGATTTCTGGGAATACTGGGTGATCGTGCCACTATATCCCCTCGCAATGTAACTTCATTTTATAGATATCAAACCGTTTGTGAATACATTTTGAATTTCAGTGACAAATAAAATCAAATTATATGTTATTAAACCTACTAACGTTAAATGGTCTCCTTGCTATTAAGAAAAGACTCCGAAATATATTAAACCTGCCAAAGCACAATCATATTTACTATAGTATGGCCTTGCTGGCGTGCACAATCTTACCCATTTTCTATTGGTAAAGACCTTATTACAAATGTTATATAGCTGTCAGATTTGAAAAAAATGATGTAATTATCAATGTACAGTAGTGCTCCTACTAATTGTAAGTAGTAATGAGTCCATGGGACTTTTACATGTATATATATATATCATAACGTTAAAAAATAATGGTTTATAAATAGTTCTAGGTAGTAAATAAAATTTTGATTGCTTTCTAGACTGCCTTGGGCGGTACGGTCACTATAACATTTCATGTCGTTGCACAACGCTGCAAGACGCGATTGGCGCCATCGTGTGACGTCACATCTCAAACCAAACATTTCATTAATTTGGCCAGCAGGTACCCACTGATATATACATATTGAATTTAGGATGCAGGCTTTCTCAAGTTATCCCAGTTTCCTCCGGAATTCTTCACATTATGACTTTGAGCTTCTTCCGCATCTAATGAAAGAGCTTAATATATTTAAAAGTTGCGAAAACTTATTACAGAAATGTTGCAAATTGTATATATTAATTAAAAGTATACCCGTGTCCAAAACACCGAAATACACGATCATGTCAAACACAATATAAGGTAGCCATTTAAAACTTTATTTCATGAACAGTTAACATGTTGCCTTTTACTCTCGTGAAACATCCATGTAAGGTGGATTCTGGCGGGGACACTGTGGTTACGTAGATGTATCATGCTCTTCTAAAGTACACGTGATTAAGAGCAGACACTATCAACTGTGTGTTAGCGATTAGTGATGATAAATAGCCCTATCAATCCTTTCTCCATATTTCGATGGCTTCACCTTCCTATAAAGATCCTGGGGGTAGATCACATCTAACGCCATCCACGAACGCCTCTCTTTTTTTTTCTTTTTGTTTTTTTGG